CTGGTTGCTTTAAGAACCCGTCAGTAGTGTATGGTTACTAGATAACCCTTTGCCTCCAGATCAGTAGTTCAAAGGCAACCAAGAGCATATCACCAAGGGTGCTTAATGTTATGCTAGGACATCTAGCACCTAACACAACAGAACAATAATCTTTCATCAGGCTCTTGCAAGAATTCCAATTTCTACACAAGTATTCAGATACGTACATCACAAAAATATTACCACTGACACTTTTGCTGATACCCCACAGAAAAGCACTACATGAACATGAAATGCTAATTATTCAGCTGTTACTCAAGATTAACACCACATACAGGGAGTACACAGAAAGAACGGATAAAGTTAACATTAATGTTACTTACACCTTTTCTGAAAAGCATCAAGGCACCTTTCACAAAACCTAAAATGACTTTTAAATGACAAAGTCAGATCTGATAAAAATTGCTGCTACTCTGGAAGGCAGGGGAGAAGCCTGGACAATGACATATTTTAAACAGATAGGTTACGGGCTTACAGGAAGTGTCAGTTTGAATTAACACAGTATCAGGGTGTTCTCATCCTCCTTCCCACACAACTTTCACTATGTCTTGCAAAACATCTTGAAAATAAAGTTTGAAAAGCATGAACAGACATTACCAATTCCAGTCAGTCAGCAACTAAACCACTAAAGTAATGTCCATACCCCACTACTTCTGCCAGTGCAGATCAGAGTAGAGTTTTACCAATATTCTGTTCAAATACCTGTCTTGCTTTCATAGAAATACTGTCAATAGAGCTACTTTTATGCTACTGATAAAACAACGTTAAGAGATTTTTCTCAACAGCAGTTCCTAAAAAAAATTTGTGTACTGCACCTCTGCCCCCTACATCAATAGACATTTATAACTTGCCTACACATAGATAAAAATAACCGATCTCAATTCTAAGTGCTGTCTATACTATAGCTACAGTTTCAGAAAGGGAACAAACAACAGTAAACATGAACTGGTAACTCTTAAGTCTAGTGACAAATGTTTATTTTGTCCTAATCCATGCTGTCTTTATAGCTGCTTTTTTTGCCAGGAGAACAGAGATGGAAACCAGAAGCTTCTTATTCCTTCTCCCAGGTTCACTTATTTGGATCCTTCTGTCATGACCCTGAGTGTACTCCCATCCACTAGGGGCTTAGCGACATCAGGAGAGCTCCATAAGGAGAAAGACATATCTTGAAAACACCATCCTGTTCCATTTCCCTCACTGCTGTAAAATCTTAAATTCATAGCCTTAATAACCCTCTCCTCTGTGCTGTCTTAATAACTAGTGACCTGTCTATACAGGAAGATCCTAAAGGAGCTCTCCTAGCAGATATGCCACAACCAGTTGCTTTAGATACTCGATTTCTTCTACAAATCAACTACAAGCTGAAGTCTGTATGCAGGATGATAAGCCACAGCGGTTATTCCATGGCCATAATGACTGCTCAAGCTGAAACTGTGACTTTCTTGGGAGCTTTGGGTTGTTCCAACACAAGGTAACTTTTCACTCCTCCATGGTGATTAATGGTGAGCAGTTCAGCTGACCATTACACACTGTCCTTGTACTCTAGGAGAGATCAATGTAGCAACACTGTAATTCAAATCTGGAAAACCTGTTGCGGTTGGAACTACCAAGGGCTATCCCGTTAGGTCAAAGGCTTCCACTGCTCCAGTGCTTTCAGCGTAAGCAAGTAACCTACAGTCATGGCCCCATGCCACCTGCCTTCACTATAGGCTCTTTTGGTGCTTGATGTTTTCCAACAATGGGTCCAAAGTCATCTTCTGCAGACCTGATTTCTGCATAGTGGTCTTGAACAGCTGCCAACAGCCTATGATTGTGACAAAGGGCACAATCCCACAGTACCTGTGCAAGGATAGAAGAGCAGGTCTACTGACAGTAATCAGGGTCAGCCAAAAGTCCAGTGGCTGCCAAACAAATCTGTAGGGAAGAGGCAGGTCAAACCAAAAAGGTCAAGTCAGCAGGTCAGGATCCAGATCAGTGAGGTACAGGGCCTGACACAGCCGTAGCTGCAACTTAGCTCAGACAATGACCACAGGCAAAGGCTTGAGCTTAAAAGACAACTCCTATGAGCAAGGCTTCTCACAGCTCCTTCCACGCAACTCTTCTCAAAGTAGCCGAGTTCAACTTCACACAGCTGCACCATATCAGAGCTAACCTTGATCAGTAGCAGCCAAACGAACAGCTAGAGAATGAGGTGCGCAGGGCCCTGACACCTCCTATCTCACAGATGCACATTGCTCCCCCTTACTGGTGATACGACAGATACGAGTGACAGCAACAGCAGTCAATACAATTGTGACAAATCTTTATTTCCTACTCACAGGGCTCTGAACACCAGCTTTAAAATTCACCTGTATCTATTTTTGCAAATGTGTTATTTTGGCAAAGCTATAAGAAGCCTAGACAAGAAAGCTGTCCGCAGAACTGGGGGGAGACACATGACACAGGGGGGACTTCCAAATCCTGCCAGATCAGATGATTTTTAAAAAATTTCTGCAAGCTTCGCATATTCCATACAAAGCAGGTACTGAATGCGTTTCAGAGTTAAAAATTGCAATCTTGGTTTTAAAGTTATTTCAAAATTGTGACAGCCTGATTCCCAAGCATTCACTGGATTTTTTTATTTTTTTAAAAAAAGATCAATGGCATATATGGTAGCTATGGTCTAAAGGTAAAATGAAATACCATCTCAAATTTTTAGTTCAAAGAGTACATGAAACTGGTCATAAAAAAAACATTTAAAAAAACCCATATCTACCATAAACAACTGAGGGGTTCCCCCCCCCCCCCCCTTTTTTTTTTTTTTTTTTAAAAGATGAAGCTTTAGCTCTTACTGATGTAAAGAGGAGTTCTACTAGAAACTTAATCCTATACCACACAGATGATGTAAAGGACAACTGTAAAAGCTGTATGGATTGGGACAAACACTAAACTTTTGTCATTAGGCTTCAGAGTTACCAGTTCATATTTACTGCTATTAATTTTAAAAGAAACTTCATATATATTGTCCTAGTAGGCTTCATTTTTGGAGGCAAATCAGTACTGGTAACACTAGAGCAGCTAGTGAGATGAAATATTCACAAAAAAAGAAAAAGCAACTTCTGTACATAACCGCATGGAAGAGATGCATCTCTCCCCTCAGTGTCAGAACCTTCTCTGTGCTATCATCCCAGAGACCCATTTGACTTCCTACCACGTGAAACAAGATAACCTGCTAGTTTTTCCCTTGACTTAAAAGGGGCTCCTGAAACTCCACTATGGATCACCCATTAGAACACCCTCAACCTCTACTCCACATTACCCAGCACACTAAAAATTTAGGGCTTAGAAAAAGTAAATTTCAGAATAGTTTATTAAAATGTATTATTTCCACAATTATGAGACTGATTTGCACAACAATAGGGATTACAAGGTCGTCAGTGAATTTATTCTCCTATTAAGACAAAGAATTATTAAGGAACATCATTATACCATTTCATAATTCTGCTTCCAACCTTGATTTGTTTTACCTAAAACTGACTTGGACCTAAAAGTGATGCTTCTACCCTTTTACATGGCAGCATATCAGAGAAATAAGGTAATTTGGCACGATCTGCACAGAGGGAAGAAGCCAAGGCCTGTCTACAGTTCAGGCAGTTACGTTTATATTCCCTTGACAACAAGCAGACTCCTTATTGCAACTCAAGGGAATTTTATCGCATCCCCCCACCTCCCCACGCAGACCAAAATTAGAGTCTTCTAGAATACATCCAGTCCCACTTCAGATAGATGAGGATACTGCTCTTCTAAAAGGTAGATAAGAAATTATAATTTCTTAATATACTGAAGACCAGTGCTGCTGCTTAAAAAGCAAGTTTCTGAACAATCTTCTAAAATTTCCAAAGCAAAATATTTTCAGTGCACAAAATATTCTTTAAAAAAATATTCTTCTCACTGTGAACACCTAGCTTACGTCAGTGAAAGAGCAGATGCAAAGGTAATCAAGAACAGTGTCAACTGTGCTTCTTGCATACGAATGCCATTGTTCAAGGCGTACTGATCCCATCTAATATATGTTTTGGTTTAATAAAAAGTTCTAAAGCAAAAGGGAAACAAGAAAGATGTTTAAAAATAAATGATTTGGTTGGTTAATAAATCTGTCTATCCTTTTAAAAATACAAGCAGCAAAACAAAAACACAGCAATGCTAGATTTTACTAACTGCAAAAATACAAAGCCAAAGAAGCACACACTCACAGTATTATGTGAAAGTAACGTACCAACACATATTTTCCTAATGAACTATGTAAAGTGTAAATTTGCAATGCACTAGTTCTATAAATCCAGGAGAACATATTCTGTGAAGAAATTTAACATTCAAAACTGCACAGGCCAACAGTCACACAAGAGCTTGCTTGTTAAAGCAGAACCACATCTCTTCTACGAAATGCCTTCTGAATACATAAAGGATATTTTCATAATAAATGTCACATCTCTTCCTCCCCTTCCTCCCCTCCGAGGCTCTCAATTCTTTTTGAACCTCCTGCAGTAGGTTTTTAAAGGAGGCCCATCTAAACCATTCACACACACAAAAAAGCCCTGAAGCGCACCAAATGTTTGCCCTTATTCTACAGGAACAGCATAGGGATAACTTAGCTCTTCCCTCCCCCCACTCAATACCTTTCTAGGGTAGTGACTTCACATCCTTTGACATCAGCACAGCTTGAAAGGGGGATGGGAGAGTTACGGCAGAAAGCAGCAAAACCTGCTTTTAACTATGGAATGCCTCTATGAATCCTTAAATCTTCCAAATCGCATTTAACAGTAAGCTAGCTTCTATATTCCCCAATTGTATTGAGCCTGTAATAAAACGAAATGGATTCTGCTACAAAGGACTTCCTGCTCCCCTTATCTGAGGATCACAATAGCCATTTATTAGCTAGTCAGAGAGGGTTACAATTCCCCAAAACACACACAATAACTCACCTCTAATATGCAAAAGGGCCACGGGCTGGAACGGCCCATTGGAATTGGCTGCATCTACCACCATCCTGCTGCCAGCTCTGTTACATGTCAACATCTAGGCTTCAGCA